GGTACTAGGAGGGGATTAAATTCCTTAAGGAAATACTGTGAATTCAGTGGGCTCGAATTTATTGTTGTTTCATTATGTTAACTTATATTTTGCAGAATCCAAATCCAAATCCAAATCCAAATCCAAATCCGAATGGATTTGCGGTGTAGTTGAACCCACTTTTTGCTGCTATTTTTGGATGCGGTAAAAGTTATCTTGTTACTATTTTGGGATGCCGTTGAAGGCATTTTGCTGTTGTTTTTGGATGTGGCGAAAACCAGTTTTGTTGTTGTGATATTAGGCAAGTTTACTTGATTACTATATGTCTACGGTACTACCCCAACTCTCATATTACTCAATTAACTTATTCTCCAAGTATTACATTTTTTTTCCTACTGTTAGATTTACTATCGTGTCTCCATAATAACTTAGTCTTTAATTTTTAATCTTAGAACTGCATCAGGTCATACCATCTTTTTAGAGGCAAAGATTAACTTATTAGTAATGGAGTAAGCATTCTACATATGTATTTATTGGACTTTTGATTTATGGAATGACTTAAAAATTATCATTTAATTAATAGATAAAGCTGTATTTGTCACTTTGAAAGTTGTCTTGCTGCTGACTCCTTTGTTTGTTGATTTGTTTGGCTTTTTTGGTATTGTTAATATTGTTGTCCTCTTTAACTTTTGCTGATTAAAGTTCTCAGCTCAGTAAATGAACTTTCTTTTTCAAACAAGCACAATTACAAGTTTGCAACCATATGTGCAAAGATAGACAATATTTAAAAAGGTATGTAATTCACAGCTAAAATGTGCAAACATCTATTATACTTCCATTTATCCGAATGGATAGTTGTTACTAAAGAAGTTTTAAAGATGTGAGGAAAGCTTAATAACACATACTGCCATTATCTCTTCTTTAAAGATGAAAGGGAAGCTTAATAACACATACTACCATTATCCTATATTTACATACCTATTATTACTAACAAGCATGGGAACATATTGTTGAGGTTTTGTTTTTAAGATGAAATATTCTTAAAATGAGGGTGAATGGGAAATGGAGGGAAAATGAAATTTTGAGTAAAATTTTAAGTTTCCCCCTCTTGACAATGAGACATTGTCCCATATTGGAAGAGGAAGATATTTTTGGTGGGTATATATATAATTGCTCTTCTTGTAGCTCTTAAAGAGTTAAGAAGAAAGCAAGCATCGCGCCGCCGTCGTCGCTCGGCTCGGCTTCGGCTTCGGCTTCGGCTTTGAATTTGGTAACAAGATAACTTTTACCGCATCCAAAAATAGCAGCAAAAAGTGGGTTCAACTGCACCGCAAAACAACAGCAAAGGCGTCAATTGTAATATTTAGAAGTGGCAACAAAAATGTGTTCAACAATGGTAAATAGGTCTGCCACAACACTCCAAATCAACAACAGAACTGCTTTCAATTATAAAATATATATTTCCGGAGAGCATAACAAAGTAGTGTGGGACCTATTGTAGAGTCCTTGGCTGTATTAACATTTACTTTTGCAAGAAAAACTTCCATACATGAGTACTCTTCTATCACATGTATTATATATGTATCTCTATGAGATACAAAAATCTGATCACATTATTGTGGTGCCTTAGTGCTAGTAATAATCTGGCACTATTTTAAACACTATAACTTTATATTAGAAGCTAGAGATCGATGGCTACACGAAATCAAACTTCTTTCTTTCATAATTCTTGGTTGCAATTTCATTTTTATCTATATCGTTTTTGTCACCTAAAACAAAACAAAACATTTAGTAAAAAAGTTATAAAATTAAAAATCGAGGAAACAATCCATAAACTAATAATTGAAATATTTTAGAGTTATTACTTTATACACTTCTAATTTGAGATTACAAAGCAAATAATACTAAGTAGATATGTTGTACATCAATTAAAATTGCTAGAACTTTGCAAGAGAAAATTAAACAATGCTAAAAGATGCAAGAACAGGTGTATGTAGAAACTACACATGTATTGGGCTATTTTTTTGATTTTTATCAGGTGGCATAAGTCTATATAATTTGCGTCTCCTGGTCCTTTTGTCATCACGTGTTTTTTCAAAGGTCTGATCATTTTCATGATTTCTATCCGCCATTAAGGCAACTTTTCTATTGCCTGAATATTTTTCTAATGACCAGTGCTTAAAAAAGGAAAAAAATTATAATTTTAGCTATATGTTTATCATCGATGAATGATAGGCGTACAAGGTATGTAAGTTAAATTGTATTGGCATATACCGCAAAGTAAAGCATCTCAGGTAAAGATATTTCTATTATATGCATAGCTACATAACTAATTTTGGATAGAATATATTACCTTGTAATAAAAAAGAGTTAAAGTATGATTGAGACGATCTGAAATGAATAAAATAAATAAATATTTTACTCATCAAAAATAATAAAGGTAAATAAATGTCAAACGATTTAGATAGACAGAGCAAATGGTTTTTCAAAAATGAACAACTTTGCCAACACCTCCTTAATACGAAAAAGGTAAGTGAAAAAAATTAAATCCAGCAAAAGAGCAGTACTTACTACCAGTGATTTGCCACTAAAACGCACGAACAAACATCTATTACAACACAACAAAGATCGAAACCTGTAATTAAAACAAAACAAACCAAAATAGGAAACTGTCAATAATGATCTCGTATAAGTGGTTTCTATATGCTGAGTGAAAAAAAATATTTTATTTACCGGCTAATGAGAAAATAAATTAGTGTATAGGTATGGACTCATCAGATGTAGCCAACAGCTTTTGTTCAAAGAAGTCATGGCAACAATTAGCCGATGAATACGTTAAAGAATTATCAACAATGACTTTCTTAAGCCAGCTATTTTCTGATGAACTAACACTAACAAATACATTTGAATATATTACAGAGAAGAATGATGACAAAGAAACATTAATTATAAAGAACTGAAGTAAAAAATCTCATGTAACTATGTAAAAGAAGATAGTAAAAAGAAAGAAGAGAGGAACAACGAGGCGGCCTGCAAAGAACACTCTCTTCTTTGGATCTCTAATACAGAAGTTTTTAGAAAAGTCCTTTTTTTTCCTTCCATATTCGTATTTCCCTTATACCTTTGATTTCTTGTGAGAATTAACTTAATTTTTTAGATGTTTACCATGAGAAGTTTTCATGCTTTCCAAAAATCACTAATACTAAAAAGGAAAACCACAACATATGAATCTCCTCTATTGATAAACATATGGCTCCTAAAACATGAGAAAACAAACAACTACAATGTTACATCTAAAAGGGAGATTATTTCTTTTATTCTAAGAAACTTCACCCCTCAACATCACTAAATATCACTAATACTAAAAGGGAAAATTACAATATATGAATCTCCTCTATTGATAAACATATGACTCCTAAGACAGGAACAAACAAAATGTTACATCTAAAGGGGGATTATTTCTTTTTATTCTAAGAAACTTCACCCCTCCATTCTGTTCCCAACAACATTTTTATGTAGAGACTGGTGGCCTAAAAAGAAAGGTGAAAAACTTTTCATACAAAGACCAAAGATGATACATATTTGCCTGCACTAACTTAGCCCCTAAAAAATAAAAGTTTTACAAAGATTAAAACAATGACCATACAAAGGACTCAATGTCTACATTACCAATTTTACTACATCAAAAGAGTAAAAAAAATTAATTAGAAATACTTAGAATCATGGTCATGGACAATTAGGATTTCTACAAGGTCCACCATAGTAAAAGTAGTTCCCCCCACCACCCCCAGTTGTTATTGAGTCCTTTTTTCTCTCTCTTTTGGTTAAAACTCTCTTCTTTGGATCTCTAATACAAAAGTTTTTAGAAAAATCTTTTTTTTTCTCTCATTTTAGCATTTCCCTCATACTTTTATTTTTTCGAATTTCTACCATCTTTGCCTTTTCTATATAGTAGACATATTATTAATACTCAAATTCAAAACATAAATAAAGATCATACAAAAATAACAGAAGAAAAAGGATTAAGCCAAAGAACATTGGGGAGATAGTTTGACATAAATAATCTCTTTCAAATACAATGACCCATATATTTCAGACATGAAATTTGGAAATGGTAGTAGGCTTGGGAAAATAATTGAGGGGAAAAAGTGGAAGAAAATCAGATCTGAAGTTGGAACACTCATTCAACATGAAATCATTTTATTTTTTTGAAAAGAAGTGGAAGAAGATTAAAGAAAAGTTACTGATCTAGTGGAGAAGATGAATTAAACCCACACAAATCCTTCAAAATATACTGACTGGGAGTAAATAAATGTATAAAAGAAACTGTTGGAGAGTTCTAGGATATTGGGTTTGGTTGGATAAAAAAGCAGATGAAAGTGGAGGAGAATTCTAGAATATTGTAGGTTTGTAGAAATACTTTTATTTTTTATTTCTACTAAAAAGGCAAAGATGCCATTATTATTATTATTTCCACTAAAAAGGCAAAGACGGTGGCAGGTATGTCGACCATCTTTGCTTTTTATATATAATAGAAATATGAGGTACCTTATGCATGGGTTATTGATTTTGAATCTGAACTACGGGCTTTTGAGCATGATTTTTTTAACTAAGGTATGGATTTCTGAAATGTTCTTGCTAAAGGAATAATGACCATGCACAATTCGGCTACTATATCACTGTTTACCCGAAAAATCGGATAGAGTTGAATTTATACGTAGTTCTAAGGATATGTGATAAAGTTTAATACAAATCGTAAGGATAAAAGGGAATATCAAATATGGACTACAAAGAATGTAAAATAGACAAAGTTGTAAAGAAGACAATTTATAGGACTAAGCAAGATGGATCAGTTTTTTAGGCTTAAAATAGTAACTCTTGAATATAAGAGGATATGGTGCTTGAATTACAATGTGAGCTCTATCCCAAAAACCGCCCTTACAGAAATGATAACCCTCTACCTTTATAGTATAGGGATCTTACTTTAAATATAATTAAAGATACTCAATGGGAAGTCCATGATAAATTAATTTTTTCTCAATTCCTGCCAAGATTCTCTCCTCTAGTGGGATTGCAACGGCTTTTGTTTGTGAGCTCGATCTTGACTAGAGCTCTCGATCTTGGCTTGAGCTCGATCCAGACTCGAGCTCTCGATCTTGGCTTAAGCTCAATTCTGACTCGGACCCTTGAATTGATTCGGAGTCAATGTTGGTCGGTCTACGGATCATAAGCTTGATAGCTTTACTTTTCATCATAGTTCAATTTGGATTCAAGTTTGATAATGATTTCGAACTCGACATTGATCGGCCCCTCGGATTCGAAGCTTGTTTGTACCATTTTCGAAACCCATCTCGAAGTCTCACTTCGATCGCTTATCTTTCAAACTCGATCAGACGTATGAAGGCCGAAATCTATTTCGATCGTATACAGATAGTCCCCTTGTTTCTCAGGAAGAATATGATGAGAAACGATATGATTTTTCAACGGCTCGATCGGATTATAAACTGACATTTCCATCGGGCTTAATCATGACGCACGTGATAATTGTCCCATCGATTTAGTCTTTCAAGGCATTTAATGCATGTCAGACGGTGGTCGGCCACCGCTGATACTAAACTGCCATCGCTTAAACCTATAAATAACCCTTCCTTTCATCATTTACCACTTTTACATCTCCAATCTTCCAAATTTTCCAAGTCCCTTTTCGTATTCTCTGACTTGCCCGCAAATCTGTGATTTGTCTTTGCAAAAAGCCCCTCTTCAATTTTACCAAATCTTCGTCACTTTCTTCTATTCCTCACCTTTGAGTTCAAAAATGGCAAAAATATCACAAACCGTTCCTCAGAAAGAGAAGGCTTCATCTTCACAGTGTGCCGCCGATGAGACATCGGCAGAACCACGGCCTGAGGAGTGCGTTCCCGGGTCGTGTGTTCTTACTTCTGATTTTAAGGTCGATAAAGGCTCATCGGTCCCTGGCCGATACGAGCCAGTATCGAGGTACATGTGTTCGATAACCGAGAAGCACCTCAAACAGCTAAAGAAAGATTTCAATTGGGATAAAAAAGAAATAATAATTCCTACTTCTGACGAAGATATCACCACTTACATGAAAGGGTTTTTGAATGTGTATACTTACCCTTTCATGTTAGATCCCCTCGATTCCATTATTATTGACTTCTGTTGTCAATAGCAAATAACCCTAGGCCAGGTCCATCCTTCTTTTTGGCGGATCGTTATCTTAATCCGATACTTTGTGAACAAAATCGAGGGGATGCCGTTCACCCTCGACCATCTTATCCGATTGTACCGTCCTCGACTTTTTCGAGAAGGGTTAATAAAACTTCAGCGTCAGGCTACCAAGGCTCTGTTCTCGAGCATTGATGAGGACAAGGATCAGGACTGGATGAGCAGGTTCGTTCGGGTGAGGACTTCGGACCTAATTCCGACCGAAAAGATGCCTTTTCCCGAGGAGTGGAATATGAAACGTAAGTGTGATCCTGCTGTTACTTCCTGTTCTTTCATTTCTTTTCTCATCGATACTCTTCTTTTTGTTATGCAGCGGTTCCCTGGATGCCCGAAGCAGTTCCCGATCTCAAGAACTGGGTATGAGCTCTTGTTTCGACCTCCACATACACCGAGCGCTCATGGTGTGATTTGTCAAAGGGTCGGTGGGAGACCAAAAATCATGGTGAGCCCTTTTCTCGTACTCTTTGATAATTCGAACGAGATGCTTTCCAAATATTTTAATAAAATTTTTCATATGTAGGTTTGGGCAAAGATGCGGTTTTGAGGCCCTTTTCCAATGAGGAAGAAACTTTGGCCTCCGCCCCAAAGCTGGTGAAGGAAAATAAAAGGAAAAGAGCCTCTGTTCCCGAATATCCAAAATCGAAGAAGAGGACGGCTCGTAAGCCGAACAAGAATTCCATTCCTTTGACCGTGGAATCAGTTCTGCGTCTAAGGGATGAAGACAAAGAAGAAGAAGAAGAAGAAGAAGAAGAAGAAGAAGAAGAAGAAAATGATGGGTCCGCACTGGCGGCCCGAACGAAGAGAACCACCGATGCCCCATCAGCAGCTAGATCGATAATGCTTCATGAGGCTCCGCCTCGAACTGAGGATACAACGGAGAAAGATTCGGGCGGAATCCCTGAATTATCGGAGATCGAAGACGCATCCCATCGGAGCCAACGGATGGGGGATATGTCTGAAGGGGCCCCTCTTGAATCCCTTCGAACCAAAGAGAATGCTCCAAGTGATTCATTTGGGGCAGCAACAATCAAAGATTCGCCCACCTTCCCCGCTTTTTCCACAGGGGTGATTAGGGAAGCCCAAGCTTTGGGGGCCCACGATCTAGACAGGCCTCATGATGGAGAGGATCCCTTTCGTGACATGTTTACTGGTATCGAGGACGTTGCCGGTACTAGTGATGAATCAGATCTTTTTCACGGGGTGCACCAGGCTTTGAATCAGGTAAGCCTTAAAATTATTTTGTCTGTACTACCTTTATGTTTACTTTTCGTTTCTAACTTCGTTTCTTGTTTATTTGCAGGCAGCAGCAGTTCATTGAGAAGTATGTTCTCGGTCCCGAAACGAGCTGTGTCGATACGAGGCCGACCTTCAACGGGTTACTGAGGAGAGGAACTCCCTAAAACTTCTCTTAGGGCAAGAGGAAGAGGAAATAAAAGACCTCCGATCTGAGTTGGCCAAGGCTTACCGAGATCAGACCGGTCTGTCTGAGCATGTAATGATACTTTTAAAAGCCTATGGGCTTGATACCGGAACGATGGCTAATTTTTCGGTCTCATAGTTGCAGCAAAAAATTGAGATGATCGGGAAGCTTTGTGAGGAGGTCGACGTGATAAAAGCGGAGTCTTTGCAGTGGAAAGAAGGTATGGACCGCTTTGCTGTAGAGAAAGAAACTGCTCGAGCCCAGTTATCATCGGCCGAAACTTAACTTCAAAGAATGAAGGAAAAAGGCCTGGTTCAAGCAAGAAGAATAGAGGAGCTCGAGGCTCGGTTGGCCTCTGTACTCGCTAAGGCTGAATTTGATGCCGAAAAGGCAAGGCCGATGCGGATGCACTCGTGGCCATCTATCAGGCCGATGCTGAAGCTGCCCAGGTCCAAGCAAGAGAGGCAGCCGAGACCGCCGATACTCGAGCACATTGGGCCGCTGAACTTGCTAAGTGCCGATCTCGGAGGGAAACCCTCGAGGAGATCCATGCTCGTGGTTTCGACCTCGCTGAAGAGCTAAAAAGGGCCAAAGAACTCGAAGCCGATGTTGAAGCCTTGGTTTTCGATGACGATGATGATGACAATGATGATGACGACGAGAGTAAGAGCGGATCCGAGAACGGGGGGAGCCCGATAGAGAAGAGACCGCTCCTGGGGATGATCAGGAAGCTTAGTCCTTAATTTTTATGTTGTAATCAATCATGTAAACAATTTTGTATAAAAATACCCCTTTTTTGCCTACTTGCTTCTATTTTGTTTCCTGTCTTGTGAAGACTTTATTCATGCCTTATGAATGTTTTCATAAGGATTTAAACAAATTAATCAAATTTGGACTTCGTAGCCTCTGTAACCGAGCGAGCGCTTACTCAAACTTGACGTGATGTAGCCCTTAGGCTTATTAGTTGAGTCAATGATTCGAGATCGAAGAAATATAGCCCGTAGGCATAATGGTCGAGTGAGTGCTTACTCGAACACAAAATAAAAGTAGCCCGTAGGCGTAGTAGTCAAGTGAATGATTCAAACTCGAAGTAAGGCATAATGGTCGAGTGAGTACTTGTTCAAACTCGAAATAAAAGTAGCCCGTAGGCTTAGTCGAGTGAATGATTCAAACTCAAAGTAATGTAGCCTGTAGGTGTAATGGTCGAGTGAGTGTTTGCTTGAACTCGAAATAAAAGTAGCCCGTAGGCTTAGTAGTCGAGTGAATGATTCGAACTCGAAGTAATGTAGCCCGTAGGCATAACGGTCGAGTGAGTGCTTGCTCGAACTCGAAATAACAGTAGCCCGTAGGCTTAGTAGTCGAGTGAATGATTCGAACTCGAAGTAATGTAGCCCGTAGGCATAACGGTCGAGTGAGTGCTTGCTCGAACTCGAAATAACAGTAGCCCGTAGGCTTAGTAGTCGAGTGAATGATTCGAACTCGAAGTAATGTAGCCCGTAGGCATAACGGTCGAGTGAGTGCTTGCTCGAACTCGAAATAACAGTAGCCCGTAGGCTTAGTAGTCGAGTGAATGATTCGAACTCGAAGTAATGTAGCCCGTAGGCGTAATGGTCGAGTGAGTGTTTGCTCGAACTCGACATAAAAGTAGACCATAGGCTTAGTCGAGTGAATGATTCAAACTCGAAGTAATGTAGCCCG